ATATTCAAACAGCATCTCGATTAAAGGCAATAAATGTATGAACTGATTTTATAGTTGTCGCAAAAATGGTGCTGGAAAAGCTACACCATATGAGAGATTTGTAATTAATACTATTTGAAAACGAATAATTATAAAAAAGTAGTCATGAAAAACATTTCTTAACAGAATGAATTTCTTATGATATGTTACGATGAAATCATTCATTCAATCACACAGCATTTTTATTCATTTTGCTTTATTCACTAAACAAAAAACACACTGTTGAATTGGTATTGTATTTTACAAGTACACTGAATTCCCAAAAATGATTACTTTGAACTTAAAACTGTACTTTTTGTCACGCTTTACAATTTTGCCTACTTTAAGGAAATCAAATGGTATTTTTTTCCTTTTCTCTTTTCTTGGTCGACAGTTGAATTAATTTCAATCAAAATGAGTGCAAATTTTTAACTAGATTACTGAAATTCAATTGTTGCATTTAAATTATTCGTTAAATAAAATTATTCAAATACTATTATGGAATATTTCAACAAATTTTCTACTGCTTATTATAAATATCGAATTTACGTCATCAGTCGCATAATTATAGATCAAAAAAATGCGAGCATAAATTTTGCATGTGATAAATGCAATTAAGAGCTCAAATACGTTCTCATCTAGACGTATGTATACATATGTATACAAAATGGTAAAATTTAAGATAACTGAAGTGAATCGTTAATTGTCAATCACCAGCAAAGAACAGTATGTTTCACACTATCAGTAACATAAATCTTGGAATGAATCAAGTGTTAAAAGTGACTGTGAATAAGCAGCCGTGTATTTTGATAAAAATTTCACTAATAAAGAAATATTTCTAAATTTCCTTTTCTCCAAATGATATCAAATTTAATGAGGTATATAAGAAAATTCAATTGTTTATGAAGACTAGAAGTAAAGAAGAAAAAGAGCATATTTGCATCACTGACAGGAGAAAATAGGCATGAAACTGAGCTGCCTGCAATAAATTTGACTTTTTTTTTCTTTTCCCACTTTTTTGCCTCAATAGAATTATCTTTGTTTCAAAAAAAAAAAAATTGCTAACTAAATAAATATTTATACGTAATACTTACTCTATGGAAGCAATCAAATTACGCTCATATTGTAAGGTTCTAAAGATGCATAAATGGTTCAAAATGAAAATTCTAACTTTAATAAACTTTTGCTTCAACGAATAAATTAACAAAAAAATTTCTTGAAATAATCCAAGCGTTTGTAGCTTAGTGTGTATATGCTTTTATTATTATATTTTTAATGGAGCATTTTTTTAAATGTTTTTGCTAGTACAGCAAGGAGCTTGGCATTCTGCATTAGTATTAATTACTGAAAACAACAACGTAAGCTCTTACATAAATTAATAACTGAGTAAATGAAACTTGCATTAGTAAAAAGCGAGTTGTTAAATAGTTTTCAAAGTCAACTTCTGAGAAGTTATCAATAGACTTCCTGGACGAATTGTTTTCAAGCAAAAAAACAATCTTACAAATGGCCTAGCCTTCGTCCTGAAAATAGCTTTCCTCACTCATAATTTAACCAATTTCACTGTATGCTTAGAAGTGCACATTTGAGTAAAGAAGACATTATGGGAGTTAGCTTTAAGGGAAATAGGTTATTAAGCCTGTTTTTGCTTAAGGAAAGACAAGACTAACTAAGCTCAAAAATGATTTAAATAGGATACGTGTAGAAGTATTTTGTTCCAAAAGTGTGAGGATTAGAGATGCTTTATTCGAATGCCTGCAACACCATCAAAGATGAAACTATTCACAACAAACGATGTTTTGGTCTGTAAGAAAGTCGAGCTACTTTTACTTAATCTCCTAGCAACGTGGACTTGCAAAAAAATCAAAGCGATGCAAGCAGTACGATCAGCCTTCACATCATTCATTCTTCACTATAATTTTTGAATGTCGGGACTGACGTCATTTGAAATATAGCTGAAAACATAATAATTGCAAAGCAAATATTTCATATTTTCTGAAATTTAGACAAAATATCCTTCTTACGTAAGAAGTTTTCATAGAATTACCTCTACATCATGTGGATCAAACTAAATACCTATGTACAGTGAAACAAATACAATCAAGTCTGGTTATTCAGTGAATATGAGCAAGAAAAAGAGTAATTTTAGTCACAGTGTTACGTAAAATGATAGTGTACTCATAAATACTGACTTGATGACTGATACAATTCAACAATGCTCAGTCTCGGAAGACATAGAATAAAAATTGTAGTTATTTATTTTACAAAAAATTTACAATCTGTCAAATAACTGTTACAGCAATAAATATATGATAATACATAATAAAAACAATAATAGTACAACAGAACATAGATCGATTCAGCAAACACTGCCTAACATTATTTTTCTGCCAGTATTGTATAGTATCTTATTACATTCTTGTTTTGTTTTGTTATAGTCGCTACATTAATGTGATATTACTCAATGTTTTTTCCACCATCATAAATACTTTTGAAATTTGCAAATTATTTACAGTGCTGGAAAACCTTCCAGATTAAGGGACAAATGTTGTTTAAACATATAATTTCAGCACATTACACAATTATCTCTTTTGCTTAGCTGCTAGCGAAAGCTACTACTATGCCAATAATTACGATATTACTCTTATCACCGTAATATTTTTAATAATAAAAATAACAATGAGATTTATATAAAACTCAAAAATAGATCTGTTTATAGCTTATTCAAATCAGTGCAATAATAAGAATGTTTTTTTACTGTTCTTTAATTTTACAAAACTGAAGTTTCGTCTGCTTGCATGATTTAGCGACATATTCAAATAATAACTTTATTAAACATACTGTTACCTCCAAAATCTTGTCATTAATAAAATTTATAATGAAACTCCAAAAGCGAAAAAAAGGTAATTCATCATTGATGAAATGTGGTTCATCAAAGCGTTGTGAAGTTTCAATTAGTTTGTTGAATTATTAACTAAATAATAGACATGCAAACAATAAAAAAGAATTACTTCACCTCTACTGTTTTTCTAATACTTTTATATATACATATTTCAAAGTATTAAGTAAATAAAAAAATTAATCTCAGCCAGTAAATGAGAAATTCATTAAATAAAGATAGCTGAAAGGGTTTGCATTTCAATCTCTAAAAAATATTTTATTACCTAAATAATCTTACTACTGTTATCAGAGAAATAAGCATAAAAATGATTATCCAGTCATTGTCCTCAAAATTTTTAAGCTGTCAAATACTTGTACATTGCTTTTTCAATTAATTTTAAACAAAGCAATAATGCTAAATGTAAAGAAAAAGTTAAAAAAATAAAGAGTGGATTATATCAAACGTAGCATACACATCCATGATTGCTTGATAAATATAGTAAAATTAGCGATAACAGGAATGGAAAAGTCTCACAGCTTCCATTTGATTCTTGAAATACATCAAAAAAATATTCCTCTACTAGTAAAAGGTTTAATTCAAATAACCGTTTCATACAATCATAAAATACACGCTAAATCGAACATTAAACCATGACTTGAAGTTTCGCAATTACTTTTTTTTACAAGTTCACTAGTAAAATGAACTATATACTCAGTCTATAATGTTAAATGCAAACTACAAATGTGCAGTTCTCTAAAAACATATTTTACTTTAAAAACACTCGATAAGAAAATTTCATTATGATAAATTGAATATATCATGCAAATAATAGCGTATATTTCAGAAGTGACATCAATAATAAGAGAATTCAATTAATTTGTGCTCCACAATTCTTTGTTTCCGTTGATATTAAAGGCTTTTTTAATCGAAATAAAATTGAATAGAAACCCCCCAGATAAATGATATCAATTATTGCACTGAGTATAGAACTAATCAGTTACCAATCATTCGAACCAAATGTTGAAAATGTGTAAAAATTATACACCAAATCAAACTAAAAGATCACTCCTGATTACTTTGAAATATATAGATTATAAAATGATTCTCATTAACGTTGATGAGAAAGCAATTGCACCCAAGCTTATCATTATTTGTTAGAAAGAAAGAGCCAAATGCAGGAATTAAATGAAATCATATTGGTTTGTGTTGAAAAATCGCTTACACTAATACTGATCATAAAATTAATTGCAGCACATTAACTGGTCGAATTTTATGAATCCCGTAAATAAAATTATTTCACTACATGATAGCCAACATCTTTAATCATAAAGACTCAGTTCTACAGAACCTGAAAGTCTGATCTCAAGAAGTGAATCATTGAACTTAATGACGGTAGAATAGCTTACAAGAAAGTATCGACAATTTTCTTTCATTCCATTTGATGAATGAGCAACTTCCATTCAAAAATTGCTATTAACAATAACATATAATAAAAGCGATCTACGCAAACTAATATTGATTTAAAACTTTTGACATGATAATCACATTATGAGAAAATGACAAAGTATGCACCTTTTCTATCATGATAAAAAAAGTTTTATATGTACGGTAAGAAATGTGTTCCAAACTTTATTTTCTATAATAATAAAAGTTCAGGAAATAAATCACATAGAAGGAGACATTTTTTTCAAACTTTATACTAGCATATTCCATGACAAATCATCTTTCTTATACTAAAATCATAACTCAATAGAATGCATAGTCACATATCCTAATGAGAAATAATTAATAAAGCTGACTATCACACGAAAACATACGAACTAGGAAAATCTGTACAAAGCTTCTTTTGAATAACAAATGTAGAACAATAATATGAAAGCTACTTAATTCGTTATTAACTTGTGCAAAAAGAATGTAAAAACCTGTCAATATCAAAGTAGTAAATACAAGAAGAGAACTGCGTAGGTTTAAATCACTTTTCTTTCAACATTTTCATTAGAATTCAACACTCAAGAGCTTGATTCCTAATGTGAATGCGAATATTTAACAATGAGAGCTCGAAATTGACGAAACACATGAAAATTTCAAACCAAGTGAAAACCTAAATTGGGTACCGACTTTCGGGTGCTAAACGATCTAAAACCTGTAATACTAAATTAAACAAACACATAAATATATTTTGTTTGCTTCCAGCTGAGAGTAAGAATGTTTAAGAAAAAGATGAAAATTAAGAAATATTTCAAAAAGTTGGAAATAACGTTAACAAAATATCAAACTTTGTATTTTAGAAAAGAATCTCCAATGAACGAACTGGACGGCAATATTTTCAAATTCCCAACTTGATAAAAACTTTTTGGACCTTCTAAATCGGAAATAACTAAGAAATACCTGTGACACTCCAGGTAAACATAAAAAACCGCCAATAACAGGAACTTGTCGAAGGAAATTTATAGCAACCGACAAAAAACCACTAAAGTATGTTTATTAAGCTTATAATAATAAAAATTGATGAGCAGAGCTTTTTCAAAAGTAAAGAGCTTTTACTTTCAGCATAATATATGAAAAAATTGAACAAATTTTAATGATAAAATAAAATAAATAGCAGTAAAAAAGCGGACCCAAAAAGAAGGAAAAAACCCCATATTTCAGCAACGATCCCTAATAAAGGCCATCCAATTAATACAACTATAATTCCACCAAAAAATAGGGATGATGCCTTAATTTTATGCCTTTGGAAAAAGAAAGCCATTGTCCGTTGAATGCCAATTACTAATAGCAAGCCGCTCATAAATAGAAGCTGAAATAAGATGAAGATCAATAAAAACAATTAAGGATTTGTTTTGAAATAATTCCAAGAATACAAAAAAATTTTTCCTATCCAAAATGAATGAATTAACTAACATTTCCAATAGCGAGTAATGCCCCATCTAAAAACATTACAATACCAAGAGCAAAAAATGTAATTCCAAACAGTGTTAATCCAATGCCGATTTCTGCAATTAAATAATAATCAATTCAAAATTAAAAACTGAAGATGTAAAAATAATACTGAAATTTTAGAAAAGATTATTATCAGAAACCTATACATCAATATTATTCTGAAATTAAACTAATGCATACCTACACGTTAATCAGCATGCCATGTTCAAAATATATTGCACGTTCTATACGCGTTTTTAACATCATAATAAAATATTTCAAATAAACAAGCTTCTTCTAAGGAATTTACATCAAATATGAGCAAAAACTAAAATTAAAAGAAGGCGGAAATACATACGTTTCGTATTATTTAGTTCAAAATTCATTGTTATAGGAGCGACTGATCGCCCTAGACCTTTCCAAAGAACAAATTCAGCACAACTCAGCAAAGTTAAATTACAATCCACCACAAATACTACTTACAACGGTTACATACTATAGCAATTTGTCTGAGTCGCTCAGTTTCATGATTCCAGATTTAACACGTTCCTTGCCGTTAGATCTTGATAGAATCAACAATTTGTCATTGTTGTGTTTTCTAAATTTTCAGTGCGCAAGATTTATGTCACGAGGTATCACGTGGTGTAATGCAAAGCAAATGAGTGTTGCTGAAAGTACTGTTCTGGTATCTACAACAACAAGGCATGCCGTCATTGTTATATTGAGTCTTTTGGGGACCATGTTTCTTCCTTATATGAAATTTTTTTCGTACTCTATCAAATAAGGAATAGTAGTATTTTTGTTTATAAGTTTTTCAGTATATTTCAAGTTTACGTTCGGAAATAAGGTGGTCATGATACTTGTGTTTTCTGTTATCATTGGGATTCGGACTCATGAATCTGATTATTGCATGGTATGACTTTAGTCTAGCAGTTTTTAACAATGATTGAGCTGATTTTATTATATTCATTGTTTAGGTAAATGTCCTGAAATATGTCTGATAGAAAGGAAAAAGTTGAATCCGAAACAAATTCTGATAGTTCTAAAACAAATAAGTGGCGAGATGTCGTTTCATTGAATAAAGAAGAGTCAAATTTGAGTAATTCAAGCACGAAAAGTCAGCTGGATGATTCAAAGATTTCTACCTCCAGTGATAATAAAAGAGCTTGGGAAGTAGGTAAGATTTTCAAGAATTTAATCCTATTTTATGCCACTATAAGTCAGGTATGAACTTAACGGGGCATGAGATTCCTCATCCTGTGAATATCTTATTACTTTTTCGTTTTTTTTTTCGCCGGATTTTTGATAGAATTTGGAGCGTAAAATTAGTTTTGTCACAACAAAATATATTTCGTACACTGGTACATTTTCTGACTTAATTTACTATCCTTTAAACATAATATTATTATTCTATATTTTCTTCAGCATGCAGTGGTATTTCATTAGATGAAATACATTGTTTATCGGAAGCAATTCTAAATATGACGTTTGTACATGAAATTGCCGTAAATCCTTGGTTTGTTATTGAAAATCCAAGCAGAAATTCTAAGACAAATGCAGTAAATGAAGATTTAAAAGAGAAATATTGGGAGAAATTGCGTGAAATGTTTGCTGAGGAACCTCCAGATTATTCATTGGCTATACCATTATTTGGTGAAATCAAAAAGGTTATCTGTCAATACATTAAGAGTCTTAGGTGTTAAAAGTTCAGCAGAGCATTTGACAAGCGTTTAGTGTTGAAGGAATAAAAGTGTAGCATGAAAAATCAGTACGTGGGTGCGTTTCAGAGTTGCTTGATGTTATTGGTAGTAGCTTGATTAATTATATTGATGCATGCTAAAAACTTCATGAACATTTTTTAATCTTTTTTTTTTTTTACCATAACACGGTAAATTAATTAAATTAACTCATATTATTGTATTTTTTTCTTAAAACTTCATGTGTTTTTTTTGCAGAGGATTATAAACTTGTTGACTCCAGAGCAAGTTCGATTAATATCTGAAGTAGAAGGTTTACTTGATGTCGATTTGCTTAAGCAACAAATAGAAAATAAGTGCTTGGATGTACGCCAGTTGTTTGAAAGTGTTCTCGAGCTTTTGAGGAGGCTTTGTGCACCGATAAGAGATGAAGTTGTAGATGGTTTGCGTAAATTAACAGATCTTATAGATATGTTGCGGTTAGTTTTAAATTTTAATTGTTGTATTAGTAGAATAGTAGATGAAGAAAGTTTTTATTACAAAAAGTTTAAAATTTTTAGTGGTGTGTTCGATCTTCTAGAATTAATGAGAGTAGATATGGCTAATTTCGTTGTGCAGTGCAATCGACCTGCTCTTAAGGAATACTCAGCCGAATATGAAAGAATACAGTTCATGAAGCTTCTTGAAAAAGACCCAGGTTCTCATAAATATCTTCAAAAATTCGTGAAAGGAAAAATATAAACTTTAAAAATTTTAATATTTTTGAGTTCTTAGTCGCATTAATAGTGCAATCATAGACGTATAAGATTTTTATTTTCTCTCTACTTTTCTTTAGAACTGGAATCCTCGACAATGAAATGGTTGCAAAGGCATTTAAATATGGAAAGTAATGATGGATCTTTATCTAAAAAAAGTTTCGAGGTATAACTTTTCTGAAATTAAAATATTTTTTATTGAATTTTTCCTTTTAATTTTTGTTTTATCGTTTTGTAATTTGTCTTTCAGGATCTGAGTAATGGAGAAGTGAGTGATATAATTAATCGTGCATATATGGAATTACTTGAATGGGATCCGAAAGATACATATCCTGGAACTTTTCTGGTATTATTTATTTGTTTGTCATTATTTGATTACTGTCGAAATATCTATTTATCTATCTCTTCTATTTACTTATCATATTTTTTCAAACTTGATCATATTTTCTTAATTTATAAATCGGAAGTAAATTAAATTTCCTGCAATACCTGATCTTAGCTTCTTGATTTATTAGATTGATCGTCCGCGATTGGTTTTGCTTTCAATGAGATATATGCAGCTTATCTTATGCACTAGCTGTCTATTTATTTCATGCAATCTTGCGGGAAGAGATGTGGCAGAAATGAAGAATTTTTATAAGAATTTGAAAGACGAATTATTACATACCACTGATCAAATCGCTCAAAAGTTTATTTTTCGATTATTACCAGTAACATGCTGGTGGCATTTATGTTAAACTTGGATCACTTTTAGGGGTATGATGAAAGATCTTGAGGCTGTTTCTGTCTTTTGCAATTTTAAAGTATATCAAGTATATATGTCGCTAGGCAAATGTTGGACAAGAGAACAATCTGCTGTATTAAAGCAACAAATTCTGCAAATCGTGGATGAAAAAAATCAAATTCGGAAACTTGTCCGTAGGAATTAATCTTCTTTTTCATAAATTTGTTTTTGTCTTTCAAAAAAAAAGTATTTTCTTCAATCTTTCACCTTTTAAAGATTTGTTCCTGGTAATATCAGTCATTTTGTTGTATTTACTGGTAATATTTTTTGAAAACCATCAACTTGCTATTTCTGTCACCATGAAAGATCTTATATTTTTCAGGTGATCGAGTATACGACTTTATTTTGTCCTCAATTTCATTTCGACGGTCATTCAAAGATCCAATGCCATCTAATCTAAGAATGGTACATAGAGAAGTTGCAGCTTTTACTTATTGGTTTGCACGTATTTTGAATCATAACAGAGAAACTTTTGGTGTATATTATGGCACCTTGATAAAAAAACTTATGGATAACTAAGTGCTTTCATTTTAAAATATATTTTACTTTAATCTCGGTGTTGTGGTGTTATATATAAAATTTTTGTAGAATGCGGTTCGCTGTGTCATCTTATAGTTTTCATTATGGAGTTTATATTTGCATCCATTGTGATGACAGGATTTATATGATACTAGATTATTTTAATACATGCAGGAGCATGAGTTAGTTATTTCCGAAAGAAGCATCTCGCAAATTGTATAAATAATCAGTTTCTTGATATTGAATAACTTTGTTAATAAATGGATTAACTATCTTAATACTTCCATAAGTAGTGCAAAATAAGTCGCTGCTAACATGAAGCGCGTACTTGTGACAATTTCCGGTCAGATCTTTTGATTCCACAAACATGCTTGAAATAGTGAGTGCCTAATTAGGATATATTGTGTGAGTACTCAACGCGAAATTCGAAGTTGTTTAGTACCGCTCGAAATCGTCTATTATTGCTCTGAACTAATGAGAAGAAATCAAGAACCATTCATCAAATAATTCAGAGAAGATTCCACTAAAATGATAAGTCATTGAATTCCGGCAAATTATATACATTTCGGACCAAGCAGAAGTTTTTTAAATCTCCCTTTTGGTTCGTAACTGCATTTATCATAAATACCACTCGTTTCATGAAGTGGTCGCGTACCTATCCAACATAACACTGGCAAATGTTTCGTAGAAGTAACGTGACTATCATATTTACACGCTATTATATTTTTTCTTATATGCATGCAAATACTGGATATACGATGGTGTTTTTAAATTATGTAAATAGCAGATTTTGCTTTCAGATAAGAAGTAAGCTATTAAATTAGGTTTTAGATTTTCATAAACAGGGATTTAGGAAATTTCCGCACATGCAAATTATGAGTTTGGAAGGAGAAAATAAATCGCTGAAAGAGAAAATAGAAGAGGAAGAAAAGGATGAAGTTTAAGACTCGTCGATGCTTTAGTGTATTCTTCTGGGAATGCAAAATATTTTCCACATTTAGCAGCAAGCATTTTTGATTCATGATTTTTTTGTTACTCTTCTCATTGAATACTCAAAAATAAATGGCTTTTTATTTTGCTCTAATGAATGTTTCGAATGCAACTACGAAACGTCCATCTACACGTCGTACTTCCTCACTTTCCCGTGACAGTTCACGTCATCATCCCCAATATTTCCAGTTGCGGCATACTACAGTTGCTTCATGTGATGCAAATACTTTATACAAGTTAGATTTGTCTCTAAAAAATTTACCATAGCAACGGAATTTCATTTTTATCGTTCACTTTTTCCTCAAATTCTCTGTGAAACTATTATGCTTAATTATACACATGTACGTGTTCCACTGTTAAATTTTTCTAAAGAAGTAGTTTCTCAAATGATCCCTTATAAAAAGAGTATTGAACTGCAATTAAAATATATGGTTATGTTAATGTTTCGTTATTACCAATTTTTCATTACCACAAAAATTATATTTTAGTATATGAGGATCAAGTTTTTTTCTAAGTTATATAAATGCTAACTTTTCTCTGAATCCTAGACTAGATCAATTAACGTTCGAGAAAAAGCATAATCGACGTGAACCAAGCAAAGCTGAAGCAAACTTAATTTCAATTTCAAGCACTAATAGTCAGCAAATTAATACATCTTTTGCAAAAATTAAACCACGAGAAAATGTGGTCAAACTCGAATGCACCGCAAGAAGTTGTTCGTTCCTAGGTAATGCATTTCCACCTACATGAGTTCATCATTTTGAGAAGTATAAGCTGCGGGGGCAATACTTATGACTGAACAATTTATTAGTTCGATGTTTGACTTAATTTACATGGTTAGTTTTCAAGTTCCTCTTCAACCTGAGGATTGTTGATGATTTAATAACAGTGGATTGTTGATGATTTAATAACATTTAATAACAAACAGCAGACTTGATAACATTCATATTTATAGAATCGTACGACTTAAAGATTACTGTAACTATAAAAGCCACAAAGAATTTTCGATGCTATGAAACTTAATTACTTTTGGTGCTTTTATGAATTACCACGTACTTGACCACATTACAATTATAATTTTTTATTTTCTCTGAACAGAAAACAAATAAGAGACAGTTCGGTAATGTTTACTGTGTTCAGCTTCAGTTATTTTTTCAGTTTTTATTTCTAGAAGAGAATAAACGAGATTTGGACAAGAAAGATATCGTCACACAGCTGCAGCATCTTGCAACAGCACCTCACAAAATTAATACTGTCGACAAGAGTACCCGGGGAAACTCTTTCAAGATTAAAAATACATCTTACTGTCAAGGTTTCGCAGGTATCACAGAAAATTTTGTCACTTTGAACAAATTGGTATCATTTTCACAGTTTATTTCCAAGTATTTCATATAAAGTGACTTCAATATTTCCTATTTTAGGCAGTCCTTCATCACTGAAGAAAACATCAAAAAAGGATGCAAAAACAAATAAGGTTCACTATTATAAACATATATTTATGTATTTACACAAGTGGATAAAATGAATCTGTTAAATAAGTGCTTACAATTAGAATAGTTATCTCTTCAGTTTGAAATATTCGAAATTACTTTTGCTCACAAGCTTTCAGGCAAATCCTAGCAGATTCTTAGCATATTCTGGTTGCACATCACAAGTAAATGGTGAAACTAATGCACTCTATCGCATCGAAAATGCCATTAATACTAAGCAAATGGAACAGAAACTTTGGTCCTTATCATCGTCAAAGTTCATTTTCCATATTTTGCTGCATCAAAATTTTTTCAGCCGTTAATTATCTCATAGATTACTTCTGAAAACTTTAAATATGATTAGACCTCTGTTATTGTTGCAAGCAGAAGCCTACCACTTAGATTTGATACATTTGTAGCATTCAAGTAGATAAAATAAATTTGAATCAATTCTCGTTTCTCTAAGTTTTTCTTAATGTATGCTACTTATACCCATCAATCAACGTAAAGAAAAAAGAAACTTTCGTCATGAATGCATAAACTGTAGATAACAACAAAAATTATCTGGTAAAATTTCAAACAATTTCAGAAGGCGAGGATCTCAAAAAAACTTCACTTATTTACAACAACGAAAAACAACCAATGAAGATCACTTAGATTACACATGGTCTTACTTGAACAGAGGATTTTGCTCTACAGAAGACGAGCTTTATGAAAATGTTGACAACCACACAGGACCCCCTGAAACCACAACAAACCCTTTCTCCCCTTACATTTATTCGAACAGGCTATCACTTGGATAGATATAATTGGTTAGAAATAGTTTCTGTCTGCCATATTTTATGAATATGATAAAAATCAACACTTAACATATTAATTTTTACGAGGCATAATTGAGAAAGCGGAAAACGATTCTTATTCATATTCTTACTCCAGACTATCCAAAAATTCATCATTTTGCAAGGAAGCACTGTTCTGTTGTATTTAGAAATAGAAATCAAGATTACAAGAAATAATGTTGCATCAAAAATCGAATTACTGCAGTATTTGATTATGATTTATTTCATATTCATTTTAAATAATCTTGCACTTCATTTGTCTACATTCTCAAAATAGAGCCAACGATTATTTTTAAATCTTGATAAAAAATTCGCTCTACCAAAGATGTATAATCAGCAAAACCGATCCTTTATTTAAAGCAAGAATGAAAGTAAAACAGAGAGTACTATATACTTCTGTGATCTGCCAAAAGATGGGAAACAAATATATGTTATAATTAATGCTACGGTACTATTTCAGTAATGGTTTAAGATTCAATAAATAAGTGGTAATCACAACTGCTTAATCTTCCTCAAGTTCCTATGAAGTCTTCTGCTGTCCAGAATTTTAATGCTGGTAATAAGCGGTAAGTTCATACTTCCATAACTTCCACGAATACGAATTCAGGTACAAAAATAAATACGAAAAGTCTAAGAATACAACAGTTTAAAATACCCGACTGGAACCTTGATTTTGTAAGGAATACACTGATTCCGAATCAAACGTGCTATTGAGTTTGCTTCTTACAAAACTTCGAAGTATTTCTTCCTTATGCAACATCTCCTCGCTTAACTGACCATTTTTTTTCATCCGTCTCCACTGATACCGATTAAGTGGATGTTCATTTCCATAGATATTATAAATAAAAGTATATAATCTGAAAAATATTCTAAACAACGATTGTTTATAACTTACAAACAGGAACTATGTGTTTTTCACGTTTCAGTGAGCTAAAAGTGAAGAGAGTACTTAAGAAAGTTTAATGTCAATATCTTCATTTTAAAATTTAGTCATATAAACAATTGAAAAAGTGACCACATAAAGCAAGGTTGGATACTCGAACAGCTTTTTATCCCAGTAACTCTCTTAAAATTCTTCATTATATATACTGAAGCCTATATGACTACAAAGAATAAGAAATATACCCAGCAGTATAAACAAGTATGCCAACGGCTGACCGAACATATATCCGGTATCTCCAGTGCTGGCCAAAATACCGAACATTATGTAGAAATTGATTCCACCGGACCTTGATTTGCGACTTCTCTTTGTAATACGGTACCCTTTGTGTCTCCAAATTAATCACGCGTGGTTCATGATGAGCTTTTGACATCTTATAACTAAAAAGTGCCCTTCTGACATTACCATCTTGCGCTTATTGTTTCACGATAAAAGACAAATTACCAACTAGGAATGAAGGAATGATCACAAAATATCAAAATGTCCACAAAATCGAAGTGACTGCTAGAAATCAGTGAGTCTACCACAAAGCTTTTGGAAAATATCTTCTTTTTAAAATTCTCTCTTATTGACTTGCAAAAAAAATCAAAAATTATGACCAGGTAGACATATAATCTTGCAATGACACCGGTAATAGAAACAGCTTTAATTTTGATGCAATTAAAATGAGCCTTCAAAAAGAGCATGTTATAAAAAGAAAGAACACGCAGAATAAAGAAATAAATGACATTAACGAGGTATTCGCAATTAAACATATCTAACTAAATGTATAAAAGCAGAAGTTAAAGCTGATTGAAACTCGCAAATGACATGAGATTCCCATGTGCATAATTAAAAAATGAGTGAGTTAAAAACGTGAGTGAAAAAAACAAAGCTGAATTCTGTACCTTACTTTTCGCTATACAATTATTACATCTAAAATAAAAAAAGAGGAAACAGCAATATTTGCTAAGGTTACAGAAATGTTGCAAACTGCGTTACTGTGATAATCTTCAGACAAATGAACAACAAGCAGTGATGTCGACTTTACATTACTGCAAGGAATATAAGTGGACAATTTTCCAACACCAAAATTTTTTTACAATAATAATGAACAACTTCTCAATCTCAATCAAGTGTTCATGATTTACGAACTTTTTTCACTTTGAAGTCGAAATCTTTTAGTGAATTTCGTTTTTTAGGCTGCGATTCACCTATTTCTAATTTACGACCAGCAAGTTTATAATTGACTCGAACATATTCATCAATATACTTTTTAAATTTTCTTCGCAATCCATCTGCACACATGTAGCGAAGCTTACCAAAGACCGGTCTCTCCTAAAAGATGAGTTCAATTTCAAAAATATTTTCAAATAAAAGCTAATCCCAGCTGACTTATATAGTTTATTTGACATGCTTGACAAAAAATTAAAAACTTTACACGTCTTACAAATTATGTGAAAACTCACAGCGTGAGCCCTATCATGCATGCCGAAATTCCACATTACACCACAAAAACCATTAGGATCTCGTCCATCTAGCTCATATTTATCATTCTGTTCAATAAGAAAAGAATATGCAGTCTTGTAATCTGCAGACCATTCAATCACTTTTTTTGCCCAATACATACGAAGATAACCCGACATCTGTTGAAAAAAAATTACACATAATAGTCATTGTCACACATGCAATTTAATCCTACAATCTAGCAGTTTTTAAAAGGCTCGTTCCTTATATTAGTTAAACTTATATTGTTGAATGGCCTAAACTTATAAATTTGAAACAAAAAAACAAAAAACAAAATTAAAAAAAACTGGCTAAACCTTGTGAGCAAACACAAGTTCAAATTGTGCGGCATTCCAAAAAACATCATGTGTACGTCCTTCTTCTAATTCTTTGTAGTTATAAATATACTCTCGCTTATCACGTTGATGTTCATCCATTGTTTTTTTTGCCCAGTCTGGTAAGCAATCAAACTAAAAATATTATAACTATCATTTAAATAAAAATTTAGCGCAGTAGACAATAACTTCTTCCATAGCGCAGAATTAGCTAAGTAAAATTTTCTACCGTATCATAAGTGTCTCTGTAGTAATAAACAAAATTATGTGATAACTCTCGGCGAACGACCAATTCTTCCAAAAATGCATCTGAAGATTGAAAAAAAGTCTTAAAAAAATAACAAACTGGCAGAATTAGTAACATTAGCACGAAAATTACCTTTAGCAGATTTCGGAGCAGAAGATTTCATTACCTCTGCAATAATAGCAATCGGACTTATCATGCCAAAATGAAGATAGGGTGAGAGGAGGCTCTGTTTATTACTGTTTGGTATATTTCTGGAATGTTTGCATAAAATAAACAGAATGACGAATGAGAACATATGAAACACAAAATCTAGCAAGAATAAAGATGAACCTTTCCTTTTCATATGCACTTAGTTTTTTTACAATGAAATTATTCAAAACTCTTCGCGCAGCGATTTCGCCACCTTCGAGTTTAGTATTCGTTTTGCATTCATTAGCAGCTTTATCCAGCTCTTTAGAAATATTCAAACATTCCAAATCCCAATTTAGAACACTAAAATATTTATCAACTAATAAAAGAGTACTGATATATTATGTAAAAGTTTCTCATATTTAGTAGTTCCCCGAATTATCGACTATTTTTAGAAAAAAAAAATAAGAATTTGATATCCTATAAAGTACGACAAAAAATTGAGCTAAATTTGTAACCGTAAATTAAATAACTTCTTATCACTAGCAGTTGAAAACATTGATAATTATGGCTAAATATGTCAAAAAAGAACCTTTCCAACGATTTACAATGAATTTTAGGAATATCATCCCATTTTTCAAGTAGTAAATCGTCAACAAAGTGCCAAACAACTTTTCGGATTGATTGTGCATTGTAAGCTGGGCCATTTAGTAAAGCCTGAAATTTGGCCCATTTTTCATGCAGATACATCATATTTAGAATGAAAAATTTTTTCATGTAGCAAAATCAGGGAGATGATTGTGCAAGAATGCAGGAATAAATGTGCAAGAATGCAAAAATAAATGGAAATGTAATGTAACTGCTTACCGTTACAGGTACAGCAACATTTCCTTCAACTTTTGTGATTTTTCGACATTTAGTAACTAACTCATCAGAGAGTTTTTCCTGAAAACAACGATCTTCTCGTAAATATGCAGCATCTGTGACTACTTCACAAGCAGCATCACATAATCTAAGAATAATTTCCATAGCTTCCTTATCATTCGCTGTTTTTATAACTAACAATGGTGTATGCAAATGTGCTAAATTACTTTCCAAGCACTTCAAACCTTCCAGAAGAAACTTTCGCTGAGCCACATTGTGTCGATCTAAATAAGAATTGATAAGGATATAATAACTAGCTCTAACATTGCTAAGAAAAAAGAGACTGAATTTACGAATCTATGATGCAAAAATTAAGTGAATCCCCTCACATATAGACTTCCATGATACACTAAATAAAGATGAAGCAAAAAATTACGCGACTCATAGATGTAAGTCACAATAACAGGTACTCCATGTTCATTGCCTTTTTGTGATGCATAAGAAAATGAGGGTGATTGTTCTGAACGAATACACCGAGCCAAAAGAAGTACATACTTTCCTACAGCAATATTTTGCTTATTCAATGGCTGAATGCGACTACTTACCATCTTATACTGAAAATGCTGATTAAGAACATAATCAATTGTGGACTTTAAAAGTAGAGCAATACAGATGTGCGTAAAAACATAAATACTTTAAACGCCCATAAAGCAGCACCAAATAAAATGACACAAGTACGGATCACACTGCAAAGTGATTCGAATGAAAGATAATGTGTAACAGTTATTGCACAATAAAATATCAAAAAAATAAGAAATAAACATTGTTATTTGAACATTAATACTAAAAAGTGCCACAGTTCAATGCTTGAAAATTTATAAACAACAATAGTTTTAGAAATTTTAATCACAGAAAACAACGGCTGCCATTATTCTTTAGTTTATCATGAAAACAATGAAGCTATAGATAAATATACTAGCTACACGAGTATTAAAAGAAGAGTTTGGAAAGTGATTAAACTAAAGTTAAGCAAGTAATAGGAGAATTAAAAGAAATAAAACTTATTTGATCACTTTTAATACTCTTTATATCCAACAACGAGTAACGAAGTAGCTATTGTATACAATTAACTTATGATCATTTTCATTATGAAAAAATCTGTTCTGTGCTAAGTACAAATTACAAGATATGCAAATCAAAAATGTGGTATGGTATTATGTGAAAAGCAGTGATTATGATAGAGTGTGTCTGGCGCATGTGGAGATGGTGGTGTAAATTACGACTTGAAGTTTTTTGGAATTGGCAGGTTGGAAAGATTAATTCCTTCTAGATAAAGGATAGAAGTTTGAGGTGCAGTCAATCCTTCACAACAAAGCTTGTTTTCTCGTAAATATGATTACGATATGAAAAAAAGCGAGAGAAAAGAATTGCTTTTATTACAGTCATCAGTTGAATCACAAGTTGATTACAGTGGAACAAATCACTTAGTTCGAAATAAATTTAATGACTTTTTCGGTTATTTACAAATGCTTCGGTCCGCTCGACAATCAGCTCCATCTGCTGCCATAAACAATTTTCCATTATTACAAATACAAAGCTGATACTGAGGACTTCCTCGGGCATCACTTCTCGGCAATCCCGACATGATTACATTGCTTGATTCTAGACGAACTTCTCCCTATCAAAATGTCACAGTACTTCTTTGCATGCCATCATTTCTACTGCTATTATTATTATTATTTACTATTATTTATTGATAAAGTTATAATTATTGTTTTATTATTATAGTTACGACATATATTACTACGATTTATTTTTTTGTCATTAATATTATTACTGTTGTAATCACTATTGATCTTAACTTTATCTTGTTCTGAACACGACATTCAATTTGAAGCAGTTATTTATGACACGTTAAAGAATTACTTCTTGTGTATATTAATTACTAATAACTTACTTGTTTGGAATTCATGGTGATGTCAAGCAACGACGAGACTTTAATTTCCCCAGCAGCACTTGTAATTTCAATATCTTGACCTGCTTCTAGATTTAAACTTCTGGTTGGGGATTCCAAACTAAAAAATATTGTTTCAGTTACAGACAAAAGATATAAGGAATTCAGTTTGCAATATCGACAACTTTTTCGCCTTGATGAGTGTTAACTCATAGTGGCTGAAAATGTTTTTGAACATTGCTCATATTACTACTCTATTAGCTTACTTTTACTTTGAAAGTAAGCATCATAAGTAAATGTATCAAAAATATAAAATTATTAAACCTTAACGGACGATCAGATTCAGGTCGAATAAGTGCTGTTTGTATAGCTCCTTCAAAAATACTTCCACCATCATCTTGAAATTGTAATTTTGTTTTTTTTATTTTGATGTGTAACAAACTTCTGGTTTTCAAATGAGCAAATTAAAAGAAAACCAAAATGTCTATCTAAAGTGAAAATGTTTAGAAATTGAATTTAGTTGAAAAAGAGCACATGAGCAATATACCAAGTATCCTAAGATTCTCTAGCTTTAGGCCAATCTCGTTAGATTCTGCAAAAAATAACAACTTTCTGGAGTTGTCGTAAATTTCGAAACGATCACAGACCGCTTCTGTGCGTCCATCTTGAAACATGTTAAGCATGGCTGTTTGATATCCCGACATATTTCGGGCCTTAATAAAAACACCACGGTATGAATCGATAATTAGTGCTTCATCCTATAATTATAATCATTTAATTAGTGAATTTTTTTAATTCGGATGAATTTTAAATCTAATTCTTGTAAACTTATTTAAATTTGATAGCATTTATTTATGTTTGTGACTACTAGTTTTTCCATCCCTTAAAGATATTAGAAAGTTTGATTTTCTTGATCACATGGATTTCTTCTTACCGCAGCTGTTGAAAGTTCAGCAAAATGAACAGGACGATCAAATTGTGCTTCACCCATAATTTGTATACTATCGTCTTCAATTCTCATTGTGCCCATTCCAGTCTAAACTTAATTATGAGACAATTAAATAATTGAAAAAGTACAATGGAATAATTTTTTGCGTTATCAAAACCGGACCATTTTATACGTGAGTAACTGTCTAATTTTTATATCTTCACTATATTTTATGAGCTAATTTTTCAAGCATTTTTAAGATATAATTTCTGATCTAAACCTTTATTTTACAGAACAAAGTGAATTTTTGGACAGTATTATTCCTGTTAAAAAATAATGCTAAACAAAGATAATACCGGAGAGATATCGAGAACAGACATAACCCATATAGTTAATGCTAAATTTAGTATGACAACAACTGTAAGCATGCAGATGAAGCAGTACAAACATCTCTTACGCCAGCCATATACACCAACCCTGAATTCCTTCATGTTACAAATAATTTTACAGTATACTGGAATTGAGTAAAAGACATCTGTAAGCATTCTTTAAAATAAAGTAATAACCATATTTCTTTATGTATTGCCTGTAACTGAGTTGCTATTTTAGGAATTTCTATTTTATTTCGTAAATTAAATGCCATGAATTATGGAATTTGAATTTTTAGCCTCACATATGAAACCTTAATTAAAGAATTAGATGAATTACTGTTCTAGTAAGGCTTAAAACGATTAAAAAACTGCAGTGAAGATTTAAACCCAATTTTTATTGCGTTTATTAAGTATACAGCACTCACGAAGACGATGATTGTGACATAATATCTGGTTTTCAGCTAAAGTAAAGGGACAGTTGTAGTAAGTAGCAAATATTTCTTATCAAATCAATTTGCTTTGTGAGATTTATTAAATTTTTAATGTCTATCTTGACTGGCTACTAAAATATGCATCTTATGAATTCAAAAAATCAAGATAAGGCTCATTTTATCAGTCCTAGTTTAGAACTAGTATATTACTTTATTTTTGTAAAATAAGTAACGAATCTACTAAATTTGCTTTTTACTCCTGATAAGAATATTTGTATACTGTTTTCTTATTACCTTAATTACAGTATCCGTGTTGAAAATAATCATTATTACCTGTATATATCTGATTCAGTAGGTGGTTTAGCAACTGAATGAATAACAGTGGTTGAATACGAAGGAACAACAGCACCTTGCAATGGAGGAGGTGAACGATGCATATCATAACTGCTTCGACCCCAAACAGGTTCTTCAGATCGTTGATAGATCGGAAGATGGCTCATGACTGCGGTGTCCATTTGAAATTAATTGGATTCTGTTTAGTTATTCATATTCACTAGCTTCATTTGTCCAAAAAATAATGTTACCGATAATGTATGGAGTCATCAAATTTCAATTTAAGTCCTTTTGTAGTTATTTTGACTTGATACTTTCATCACGCGTCCTTCTTGCTCGACTTGATAAAACAACTACGTGTATGTGCGTTTCCAAAGCTGAATTTTATAAAAATTTGATGACAAAAGAAATAATTCATAAATAATTTTATATCAAACATTTTGATATGATGCATACATGTATATACATGATATGATATATATGCATACATGTCCATGCTGAATTAAAACTTTCTAATAATATCTTGGCATTTAACAAACAAGAAGTTAAAGTTGTTTAACATAAAAACGCTATAGGTTCATGCAAACTCCTTCTGTCACGCGATAAAATTTCGTTACAAATTTATTAATAAGTACAACAAGTACAAATTCTGATTCATAATGACTATGACAAGAATTAGTAACTGAAGGAGGGGACTGCTTCTTTAGTTTTTTTAAGTGTATTTGACATCATTTTATTTCAAAAAAATAAATTAGTTTTGCTCAAAGCAAAGTAAGTATCCTTCACAGTAAAAAACATTAGCTTCTTTATCAACTAATTTAAGATTTAATAATATATGCGGAAAACTATAGAAGTAAAAATTGAAATCAAAATTAGTGTAAAAAGTGAATAAAAAATATGCATTAGATCAAGTCAAAATCAATAAAGTTTTTGTAAAATTTTTGAAAAGAGTTAGTAAACTGACAAAATTTGTAAAACGTAACTACTTTCTATGAATTTATACGTAAAAATAGTTTTACAAGCAGTAAGTAAGCTTAGAATGCGCGATAAACACTGAAACTATCTTATCTTTTGGTGGTAAATTCTTGATTTCTAAAGATAAATTTAAAAAATTGATTAGTTGCAGCTGTATGAATTTATATATGATATGATGTAGTAGTTACCATTCAGTATTTATTAAAATTAGCATTCCTACTGTAAATGAATCAGGTAACCGGAAGAGAAACGAGAAATTAAAAGTAAAGCAGCCTTTAATTGCATATGAAAAGCCGATACAACTTTTAGGATAGAATTTAAATTGGTGCAAGGCTACATTACAACTGATGTTGTGAAGTTTAACAGTGTGAATGTGGTGTATGTATGTGAGTGTGTTCGTGTATGTGGTGTCTATGTATATCCTGTATGTTTGTGTGAGTCTACGTATCGATGTTATTTAAGGTGTTTTACTTCCATCATTTAATTGAGATATACACCATCACTGTTGTAATTTTGGCCAACTAGAAGTAGCAAAAGCGAGAAGTTTTGCATCATCATCTACCCACCTATTCTATCAGCAACTGCTTTACTCAGTTGTAGAAGAGCAAAGTTGAACGTCTTCCATTTATTTTATGATCATTTTATCAAATTCTAATCATATTTAAAATGTTATTAAGGAAAATTTAACTACCACTACAGGTTACTTCATGTATATCTTTTAGGCAGTACTTAGTTGCATTATATCAATTTACTTCACTTCATGATTGCGTAAATTTTATTAATCACATACATGAAGTGCTTACACTTGTTCTACTTTAACTTTCCAGCAAAAAATATCAATACACGATTTTGCTACCAAAGTGTATTAAATATCTTGAAATGCTGCTAGCTCATACACTAATAAAACACCAAAAAAAAAACCCCAGTCACTGCAAACTGCTTCATTACTGAAATTCATGTGTAAATTACACTTTTTTTTTCGTTCTGCCGTAAGAATATGTACCTGTTAGCTTTTCATGAGTATTAGTAATAATGCTTAAGTTTCAGATCAGAAAAAACTGTCTTTGATTATCTTCAAGATATATTATTATTTATCATATAATTCAGATAAATAATCTAAATTTTTATAGTAAAACTGAGCGTCACAAACTGACATCAACTATATCAGTCACTTACACATATCTCTGCATAACAGATTTTTATGGCCATGATATCATATAAATTATTGTTCTCATTACCTTTAAAGGTCAATTACTTGCCAGATCTGAAACTAAGCTTCTTAGAACATGGAAAAATATGTAAACTTATTCATTTAGCTTCAAACTTATAGCTATGAAATAAGTTAGAATACTTATCAATGGTACTTTTGATCAACAAACTGATCAAGGTATGAAATCATGAAGATGAATAGATGCTGCCTTCTTTTATCATCATTTTATCTTTGCATACTTTCTTTTCAAGCCAAAGCCAAGTGAGGTCAACTCTTTTAAATATTCCTTTGATAATTCACAATCACAGAACAATTCTATACCAGATATTGAAACCCTTATAGAAAATATAATTTCGCTGTATAAATCTTTAGCGAAAAGCACTGTTTATCACAAAATCAAAAAATATTCTCGTGTATATTTTAAAAAATTGAGAAAAGCTTGCAATAATAGATTTTGCATACATGAATGAATAGCATGAATCATTTTGCCGAAAGATTCATAATTTTGTCCGATGACCACAACAGTGACCCTAATGCAAATAAGTGATGAAATGTACTTGAAGTACAAAAAATTTTTAAAAGTTACTAAAGATAGTGTAGCGAAAGTCTTAGACAAATTTTAGTGTCTTCTTTCCTTCCATAAAATAATCAGAAAGTTTGACTGATTAGCAGCACAAGTATGCAACATCTACAAAATTTAACAAACTACTGTTATAAAGTATTATTCCAGAAATATGTTTTCTTGCTTCAAATAAATTGTAATTTGTTTTGCTACTGAAAATATTCATTTTGCTATATAAAGCAAACTTACTGTGCTAAATATTAAAAAAGAAGTTATGCACAAGTAGCTTCTGTGCAGTCAGTACATATAATAAAGGCATTCTAAACATACACGCAACTCTTATCTTATACGTTATGATGATAACTAATGAATACTTCTTCATGCCTTTTCACACGGATTAATTTGATTTACTTTCTTACAGCACTAAACAAATGTAGCATACCGACACCCAACCGCACGTTTATACAAAATTTGCTACTGCACACTAATTCGTAATATTTTGATCCTTTCTTTATTTCGTTGTCAGTGGAATTGTAAGGTAAGAGGTTACTGGTGGTAATTTGTCTCTTATTGGCTTGGCTTGATTATAACGCTTAAAATAAACTGATGAAGTTATTGCACATGAGCTTGTTGTTATTGCATGCATTTATTGACTGAAAAGATTTTCCTTTCATAGACTTTTAACCGTTTTCAGCTTTTAATGGTGCCTAATTATATTTTTATTTATAACAACAAATCAAACTCTAAGATATTTAATGTGTGATATCTCAAGTTTCAACTTCTACGTAGTATTTTCTTTGAAGGCAATTTTCGCGCAGTGTCGAATTTTTCACGCTAAATTTAAGCTGTAAAGTTGCTCATTATTATTTCAGCTAGTATGGGGAAAACTGAATTAAGGTTGAAGAAGAAAGCATCGGAGAGGACTGGCACAATGCAAGGTAAAGTATGCTTTCAAAAAACTTGCTATCAAATTTGTTATTTCGAGACTGCTGCTAATTTTTATTGTTTTTAATTTACAGCACTCCCATTCAATACTGAACGAGGACAGCATATTTTGAAAAATCCCGGCATTGTTAATGCTATCGTCGAAAAAGTGAATATATATTTATTTGTATCTGTAAATGACGTTTTTCTTTTCGGGAAGTGTCATGTTTAGTGAAATTTGGTAACTGAAATTTATAAGCAGTTGAAATTGCGGTTCTCTGCATCTTGATGATTACTTTATGGTAACTTATTTTTTTGTAGAAAAAGTTTTTTAAAGGCTAAATTTTTCTTTCCTAATCATGTTCATAGTCAGCAATCAAAGCAACAGATATAGTTATGGAAGTTGGATCTGGTACGGGTAATTTGACTATGATGTTATTGGAAAAGGCGAAAAAAGTGATTGCTTGCGAGATTGATCAAAGAATGATCGCTGAATTGAAAAAACGAGTGATTGGAACGTAAGCAATTAAAGATGTTAACTCATGTAAGGCACCTTTTCTTTTTATATTTATGCTACTAATATAAAATTATGTAAAGTAGTCACTGTCTTGACTGTTGTAGATCGCACCAACATAAACTGGAAGTAAAACAGGGCGACGTCGTGAAAATAGAGTGGCCTTTTTTCGATGTTTGTGTTGCTAATCTACCGTATCAAATCTCATCTCCCTTTGTATTCAGATTATTGTTGCAACGACCTTTGCCCAGGTATTTTTTTGGGAAAAAAAATTGCAGTTTCGTCTTTCGAATTTATGCGTCAGCGGATGCCAATAATTTTCCCGCTTCTATTGAAATGCTGTTATTGAAGTTAGCATCTTTAATTCTTAATTTTTCAGGTACGCAGTATTAATGTTTCAAAAAGAATTCGCGGACCGTCTCATAGCAAAACCTGGTAGTAAAATTTACTGCAGATTAAGTGTTAATGTCCAATTCCTTGCACGAGTAAGTTTATTGCAACTGACGGTTTACTGTTGCCTTATAATCGCAATACCATCTAGAAATATTGAAGAGCATCTAAATGAACATGGATTTAGAATATATGTCAGGAAGGAGTAATATTTATGGTGTTAATAATTAATTACACCAAGTATATTACCGTGCAAAACTATTAGTTGAAGGGTTGAAGTTTTTTTTCAAGGTTGAGCACTTGATGAAAGTAAAACGAACGGAATTTCGTCCACCACCGAAAGTTGATTCTGCTGTTATACGTATTGCACCGAAAAGTCCTCCTCCCTCCATCAATTTTCAGGTTCTTGTTACCTTTTCAAACTAACAAGGCTTCAATGAGTGCTGTGCGAGATAAGACTTACTATGTAGAAGTTTAAGTTGGACAATATCTGCATTCGGTTTCGCAGCGGGCTCCGATATTTATCACACTTTCTTATGTTTAAGCTGGCAGTAGTGCATCTAAATCTAGCTTAGCCAGAATTTCAGACCATATTATTTCGAAAAGTAACTGCTAGGACTAACTGCATTATCTTTCCTTGTTTTGCAGGAATGGGACAGTTTGTTGAGAATCGTTTTCCTTCGAAAGAATAAAACCTTGCTCTCACTTTTCAAAAACAATCAAATTTGCGACTCTTTGGAGAAAAATTACAGAGCTATATGCAGCATCAAAAATAAGGTACACTGGTCTCAAAAATAATTCGCTTTTATCCTTTATTATTAGAGTCGCAGAACGATGTGCAGAATTTTGTTAAAAGTATTTTCAGGAAGTTACGAAATGCTTTAATATGAAAGAAAAAGTAGAAAGTGTGCTAACGAAAAGTGGATTCGCGTCAAAACGAGCAAGGCATATGGATACAGAGGATTTCTTATCATTACTGCTTGCCTTTAACAAGGAAGATATTCATTTTATTTAGTGAAGCCTATCGTCAAAAAAATGTAATCATACGAGCGTATAATTTCTGTAATACAGCTTTATTAAAGTGAAATCTGTTTTTTCTCTCTGTACACTGCTAACAGCTTTGATGATTAACTGTATAAGTTAATGTAAGATATACATTTTTAACGCGTTCAGATTTGTTATACATTGTTAAGTTTCACAAATAGAGAACAGTTTGCTTTATCACATGTTCACTACATTTAGTCTCTTCATACTTTATCCAGAAATTATAAACATAAAAAATCTCAAGTTCTAAATCTTATAAATCCAAGTAAAACGCAATGTCATGAACAAAACTGGCCGTTACGAGCAGCACCATCTCGAGCAAGCTGATCCGCTCTTTCGTTTCCTAATATTCCTGCGTGTCCAGCAACATGTTCAAAACGTACCTAAATTTCTATAGCGTAAATCCGACACACATTCCATGTGAAATTCCAATAAATTGATGTTGTTATAATCTGATTCACTTTCAAGATTTATCAAGTTTGGATACTATACACACGTTTCATATCTTGTAATGTCTGGAGAGGTGGAATGTTGGATTCTACGAATACTGACTTGTAGTTCTCAAAATTTATAGAGACTAACAAGTCCAGCTCCAATTCACGAAAACAAGTAGTAACTGTTAGCTGACATATGGACGGTTGCCCCAAAATTATTGCATGAAACAAACTTGGAGATTTTTGAGGAGATTATCTAAATGAATAATGAGATCTTTGTTCTTGACGTCGCTACCATTTGCAGTTTTCCAACCATTCTGTTTCCAACGATGTATCCATGTGTTTACAGTTTGAATGAGAAGATTGGAGTCAGTACGAACAATAATCCTTTGGTAGTTTCGCTGCACTGCCTAAAAGGCAAAACCACAAAATGAGTAAGCGACATTATGATTACGAAGCATTAGAGAAACCACTTTTCGATAACAAAAGAAGCTACCATTTGTACTGCTCTGATTACAGCTGTAAGCTCGGCTCTGTTATTTGTTGGTAGTCCATTTTGTAGAGGTTCAGAAATGTTGTCAACATGATTTTCACCCCAATAAACTCCAATCCCTGCAACAGCACCAGCATGACCATTAAAAGAACAAGCACCATCTGTGTATACTATTGGAACTCCTTCCCACTGCTTCTGTTCTCTGGAGTTTAGCTGTGAGCTATAATGTGCAAACTTTTAATATGTTTCACTACATTTATTTTCGAATAAAATTGTAGATTTACTGCAAGTGATGAATAATCATGACTATAAAACTATTAACAATCATGTATGGTGAAAGAAAATCTCGAAGGTATTTTAAACACAGAGTGTCCAAATGGTTTGCATTTAACAATAATGCTTACTACTTTGCAAAATATGTTTCTGATCTTGATAGTAATGCATGTTATCTTACAAAAAGCGACTAACTACTTAACTAAAAACAAAAAAATTTCATTTACATTAAGACTTTAAGCTTTCAAGATTCTAGGTTTTCATTTCATAAAAAAATATACCAATTAGATTTCTGCACTTTTGTAGCAGTGAATCGAGATTTTGAGGAACTTCCCACTTCCTATTTAATAAATGCCTCATGAAAACTTCTGTATAATTTTAACGTTTTTCATAAGAAAATTAAGGTTTTTACAAGCAATAATTTCTATGAATCTTACCTTCGCACTTAGCCATTTAATTAGAAACATTTCGTTGAAAAAAAGAGCAAATCCTTATTAGTCTAATTATATCAATCTATTTCAAATACTTTTTTATCAAATAAAACAAAAATGCGCACCTCTAAAGATTTACGACCGCTATTTTGAAGCATAAAAGCAAGTGCTTCATTCTTCGTTGCAAATTTTTTGTATCTAGATCACATATATTCATTGAAGTAATGAAAGTATAATTACCAATACAGAGAGATATTACAATAAAAACGTTTTGAGAACACAAATTCCCTAGTACTGAAACAACAGCTAGTCATTTAGTTTCAACATTTTCTCAAGTATGAAATTACAACTGGAGAAGTCAATGAACTTACTTCGCATTCTGAAAACCTTTTACCTGCTTTGCACACTCAAACCATCTTTCATATACTCCCGGCTTTCTACCACGAGCAACGGCGTAAAAACCACTTTTCTTTGAATGCTGCATCAAGATCGATAACAAAGTAAACACGTTTTCTAAAAGCTACTTTCCAAAGAACCAGGTCAATTTTTCGAATTTTTCAAATGAAAGCTTGATTTACTTCTAGAATTTGTCCCATGAAATCTCGCACCACATCTAAACATAGATATAAAATTATCCTTTAAATGCTTCTTGAAAGTGCAAGTCACGGAACTCTACCAACTAGATGAATCATTAGGAAAACAACCTGCTGAAACTAAATAAAAGGTTATCACCAGAGTCCACTGAAATTTGATGAATAAAGATCAGCTTGCTATCGTAGTAAGATTTCAAAGCATACACTTTAACGCAGAAGTCACATATATTCTTCTGAATGACATAAATTTGCATTATAGAAGCTTAATTCATGACAATAGTTTATTTAACAACCGAGGTACAGTAACAAATATCTTATAGAAAAATATATAATTATCCAATCTCCACCACAATATCATTAAAATTCTACTTTCTAATATAATACTAAAAATATAAAAGTCATTAAAACGTTCTCTGAATCTAAGTATGAAGGTGTAAAAACTAAACAGTATCACGCACCACTTGTGGACTGTTTCTTTGAAAAAATCACACGAATAGTAATTTATTGAACATTTCAATGAAATTTTTAGCTGAAAAAGTAGTTGTTAGTTTTGAAGGGGAATGAAATGATGGATATATGGGAAAGAATAGTTGTTAGATGTGAAAAATAGTATAAGTAATGAATGAGATTAAAAAAATTGGCAATATCAAACTGTATATATGTCTTGTGGATTTTTATAGAATAAATAATAAACTTTAATGAAATAATAATAATATCATCGGGTCAGGAAATGGTATTATACATTCAGTCTTCCAAAATCGTCAGGAAGTTAAATAAAAGATACACATCCTGGCAGAACTCCTGATTAATATTAATGCTCGATGATGCAGTTAGTTTCATTTCCAAATATGAGATAAACAACTATCTCATTATACCGATGTTTTGACATCTGTTTTCGCTGATTTCTCCTCAACACCATCTGGTGCATTATCTGGGCTATGTGGTCGTTTGCGATCTTCTGCAGTATCAAAATGAATCTAGCGTTTAGATAATGTTGCTCACAAAGTGATAAAATCCGAAAAATTAAAACTGCGACTTTGATATTAAGCATAAATGCAAGTATCAAGAACTGCTGGAACTGAAATTTCATACGCAAAATCACTTCACATGATCGATATTTCCAGATGAATACCTGAATTATTAACTTTCTCGCTCATGACAAATAATTTGGCATCTTCTTCACTATCAAACTTTTGAAACTTGGCATTTTCAAAATCTTTTGTTGCTTCTTTGAATTCTTCCAAAGTTTTGAATATGCCAGTTTTGTGTCCATGAGCAACTGCGTAGAATACTGACTCTTCTTCATCGGCTTGCTAAAACCAATACCATAACTTAAAATATGTAGCTGGAAAGAAATTATGCACAACAACATCATTTTATAAACAAATTAAGAGAGAACACTGGAAGAATTAATCGTGTGCATATTAATCAAGAATCGATGGTATCCTCGCCTCTTTGTCCACTTCCGTTTTTTCTGTCACTTTTATTTCTTCCTCATTGTTATTCGCTGCTGTATTATGTGCTTTTGATTCTGAAATTACTAATTACATGCTCGATTTAATAGTCACTTTTGATATCATTAAATCATCTTGGCTTCTTCTTCTTGTTCTTTTCTAGTTCCTTTCGATACTTTAATTTGTAGAATTTAGTAGTTTCGATTTTGATATCTTCTTGATGCATTTCGATATAAGTATGATGCGAATATTTGAAGACAATGTCGTGTTGTTCAATCCATCAATAAGATATGACGCAGTAATTGATTATCGCCAAATTACTATTTCTCTCAAAAGTTTTAGTAATCACAAATCTTCTGAAACGGTCATCGCGTCCTAAAATGGCTGTTAAACGGATTCAAACAAAGTTGCACAGTAATAGAATATATCGAAAACAAAACCTTGTATATTACCGTTTTCTTCTTCACTCGAATATTTACTGTAATATGCTTTTGCATCATCCAATTTTTCGAATTTCTTATACAGTGGCTGCGGATAGCCCGCTATCTAAAAGTTATTTTCATTTAAGTGAATAACTTCAAATTTGTGAAATAAAAATTTTCCTGGCTAAAAAAATGAAAATATGATAATTTCCGAATACAAGCAGAAGAAGATTTTGAAAGCCACTCACATGATTCTTAACATCATTATAATCTGTAAATATTCCCACAACTTTTCCTCGAGCAACTGCGTAAAATTTATCAGCTTTCTCATCCACTTCTACTGAAAGCATATTTAAAAGCAAGTAAATTTCTGCAACTCATTCTTTATATCTACAACAAACAACCTCGGTAAGCCATAAACTTAGATATAAAATATGGTATTCATGCAAAACTAGAAAATCAAATAATACTTCTAAGAAATATGAATGTGTAGTTAATGCAGTATATCCTCAGAATATACTGAAAAATAGACAAAAATTAAAAGAAGTCAAGTAAAACTGAAACGAACGTGAAATCTTCTCTGGTCTTCGAGCTTTAACATATTCTTCTGCTTCTTCTTTAGTAGCAAATTTCTTATAAACTGGTTGAGGAAAGTCTTTAATCTGCAAATGAAATCGAACTCTTACAAACTTTTTGAAAATGTTCATATAATAACGTAAGGAAGGTTCTGTCTAAATCAGTGAGACATTGGTACAGAGATATTAGAAGCTTAATTAGAAACAAACAAAATTAAATTGATAAGGTTTTACTAAGGAAGAGAAAGGACTCTTTTTTCAACCTAAACTACGGCACCAAAACTTGATCAATACGAAATTGAGGTAAAACATTTAATAGATGGCAAGAGGGGGAAAACAGGCCTGCTCCTGCACTTCTGCCCATTGCTCATATACGCCGGGTTTCTTTCCATGCCCTACTGCGTAGAAGCTATGTTCAGTCATTTTGTTTTGCCTTAAAATTGTCTCTTTGTAACTGAAATGCAAAGCAAAATTTTGTTATGTGATTCATAACCAAAGATGCACTTTAAAAAACTGATAGCTGGTACTAAAAGCAATTTTGTAAATACTGCAATGTAACAATGATAAAGTATAATACATTTTTTACGATTTTATTGCAACTTCTGCACTTAAACTGTGCAACATAAAAAGTGTGCAACGAAGAAATTTTATAATTGAAACAATTAAGATAATAACATATAAAATGATTGTGTAATAAAATTGTTTTGGTGGGAAAGAAGTAGAAATATGTATATGTCAGTATACGCATATATCAATTTATTTAACTGAAAGTTACCAATGACCGCAGCCAATGAAGGAATGTGATAAAAATAGTACGAAACTCATGTGATAATAAGATTAAATCTCATGAATGAATGCGTAGGATTATGTAATATGAAGCTTGAAGCAAAGTTTAAGCACACATTCAACAGAAGAAGAGGAGTGGATAAATGCAAATGAAGCAAATGAAGGCATTAGAAGAAACGCACGCACGTACGCAAACACACAAGTACGCAAACACACAAGTACGCATACACACACATACACATATATATATTCACACACACATGGAAGAGCAGTACAACCAATATGTGACAATGCTGTTGTTACTACTGCTGGCTCTGGCTGGTACTGAGGAAAGTTTAAATTTGCCATAGTCATGCAGTCAGTCAGTCAGTCAGTCAGTCACAACCTTCACAACGGAGAATCCATGCCAGAGCAACAGGGAGTAGAGCGAACAGAACACAACACAACGGGGAGTTTAGTCAGCACTGCTGCTGATGATGGTTCGTTTGCTTCTTCGTTCTTATCACAATCCATCCGTCCATCCATCTATCCATTCATCTATTCTTCCAACTCTTCATCTATTCTTTCATTCATTCAAACAATCATCCATTCATTTTACTCATTCATCCATTCATCCACCTCGATATTCATCTATCGTTTGGCAAACAGACGCAAACAAAAATAGATTCTGCGGCAATGAATGAACCACTCACTAACTCATCTACTTGTTCCTTCCTCGCTTACTTGCTTTCTTCTCGCTCATACTGTTGCGGCTAGCAGTATCCTTCTGCACTTCATACATTTATCGCAGAAATCTTTCAAAGAGCACATCTGTTGCGTTTTTTCTTGCAATTTGCATCTAATTCTGCTGCTGTTCACAACAATCAACATTTCTATCGCACTTATTGATTCTGCTACATTCCTCCAAAAAAAGTCGCTTGTGTTTAAGCAAAAAATCCCTACTTCTTACTTCCCTTATTAGATTGTTGCAAATTTTCTTTCATATTACAGTGTCATCCTTCTGCTATTCCCTCTCATTGTATCTATGTTAACTATTATTCGCTCTAAAACATGCAATAACTGAATTAATTTAACTTATTGAATTATTGTTAGTATTCTACATTTATTATTCATTCAAACAAACAACATAGCACAACTCTATAACTATTCCATCTTTTAATTTGCTCACTCCTCACTAATCCTTCTATATTCAACATCAATACAAGTACATGTGCAAGCAATTTCCAACAGGTCATTATTTACTCACTTTTGTCAATGTATTAGCTCTTGCAATAGCACCTTTTTTACTGTTCACACCGCTCTCGTTGTACAAAAGCGTCTCATAGCAGCGTAAGTCTCGCACATATTAGCATCAATATCACTGCTTTTCCAAGCAGTAATATGCATAGCATTATGTTGCTAACTCTGATATAATGATAAGCAACAATTATCCATCACATATTCAATCAAAATATCAATAAATGTTATCACTATAATCAGAAGGCTAATAATGCCTAAAATGCAAAAATACGATGCACCCCTCCGCTTGTCACATACATCACTATGGCACATGTTTACTGCCAAATCGGTTCACTTTTCTCATCAACACCTAAAAGTCATTATTTATTCAAAGGACAAACATTTCATATCACTCTACCATTTCTGTCTCATTTTATTTATTCTCATATCACTCAGCAAAAGTCGTAAAATTATGCACTTCAACCAATGAAACTAAAGGTTTTGTAATGTGAAAGATCAGTAAACACATCATCTGTCTCTCTAGAAGTACACATAATTAGCACACCTCCCCTCACTCTACCCCCTCTCTATAAGCATTTACTTTCATGTGCTCGTGAATCAAACTCACTGACACTATTTTATTCGACGTTATAGCAGAAAATTTCTGAATCATATGCGGTTCAAAATTGAAATCAGTTAGTTCCAAGTAAAAACGATGCAAACTTAAGCATCCATCGGCTTCTCAGGTTTAATTTATTTTAGCATACTTTATGAACCACTCAGAACTTTGAATACTGAAAACGCATACCTACCTTAACAATTAAGAATTAAGTTCGTAAACTTTCTTGCTCCTGTTATATACACATATTAACGGATTACTTTACTTTAACTAGACTAATCCTAATCCTAATCTATGACCTGTAATAGTATCATTTAACAAGACACATCTCTAATTTCTTTCTCGAATATCTCTTATCAGTTCAGAGAATTCTGCATTTCTCCAGTGTTAATCTTATTTATCAAGCAACAACCGAAGAGCCAGTGCAATCAAATGACTCCATTCCTTTCATTAGACATAAATTAAAACAGTTCGATCAGTCCAAAAACAGCACTCGCTGTGCACAAAAGTCAAATGAGACAGAACTTTTTTGAGACACCAGTAATTCATTTCGTGAAAGTGACAATAATCCATGGAGACATTTCTATCAAATGACACTTAACAATGTTAACATTGTTAAATGTTTACTCAGTAAATAAACAACTAGTAAAACGTCAGGGACTAAATGACTCGGTAAAAAACCTCATCTACAATTATTTTCAGTTTTCTCTTTCTCAAACAAGGCTATATCTACTTTCAAAAAGAGATATTTCGGCACATTAACGCAGCTGTTTTCTTGTTTACTCTCATCTACTCTAAAAATCCTAGACACCTTTTAATACTTACAACTATATTAGGATTACACCCGTCATTTGAACAATGTTGTGATGAACAACCAACTAATTTTCAAAAATATTTACATCATAAAACATATTAAAAATGCACATTAATTGCATAATAAAACACTCGGTGTTATGATAAAGCTAATTACAATATGAGAAAAATAAGATAAATATATGAAAGGAATAGACAAAATCAGTAATTACTACAAACAGAAAACTTCTTCCAGTTCAATATTCCAAGGAATCGGTCATGTCAAATGACTGCTTCAATACGTGAAGTTACTCATCACGGTTAGAACATATTTACAACATGAGCATAATACTTAGCCTATATTCCTGTTGCGAATAAAAAGCCAGTGAATGCAAGAGTAGACGATGAATATAAAAGAAAAGAATGCTTGCAGTTTTTTAGCGGTCAGTTTTTGAGCGATTCCAACCTAGCACGCATCTCGTCGTAATCGACAGTTTGCCCTTCAGTACCTGCTAATATGCCCTGTGGTTCCAACGCGAGTGTGTCTCTCACAGCAGACGGAGCTTTACCCAATTCACCAGCTGTAATCTCATAAAGTATTCGATCCACTTCTTCCTGCAAAAAAATTGCCAATTTCTTTAACAGCAAAGACTATATTCACTTTAAGGCATAAAATTGCTTTACAGCTTTTGTATTCAATCACATAATTTGCATCAATGATTTTCAACGCTATACACAACCAAAAAGTTTTGTTTTACGCATACAACGCGAAAACATTTTCATTCTCTTTGCCAAAATTAAAGTAATCTATACGTCACGAAAACGTGCAAGAATACCTGAGCTTCTTCTTCCAGCTCTTCTGGTTCTACTGCTTCCATCGTCTCTTCTATCATCTCATCAATAATACCTATTTTCATCATTTCTTTAGAAAGCTCCCGCATAGTCGACATTATTTCCGGCACCTAATAATTATAACAAGTCACTATTTTTAATTTTAATTTTGCAAAAAATGGCAAAAAAATTTAATATGAATTATAAAACATTCATACTTTAATACGTATTCCAAAACACTCATTTCTGATATGACAAATACCTTGCCACTGAGGACTTCATGTCTTTTACAATCACCTTTGAGAAACGATATTTCTTTTTCACTGAAAACATGCCCAATATTGGTTTCATGCATCTCACAGTTGGCCCTAAGCTCGTTCTGAAAATGAAATTAACCTTTACTAAATGTTGCATGTTCCTCATAACTTCCGTAGACTGTTGCAAAGAGCCCGCCATACGTACTGTAGCAAGCTGCTGCTGCATACCCATGACAACTGAATTAATCTGTGCTTTAGTTCCGTGAATTTTCGACACAGCCTCAAAAAAAATTAGATCACCAATATCTATTCTCGGAATGAAAACATCCTCTTAAAACTTCATTTCAACATTTACTGTATCAAAAGAAGCAAAAATTTATTTTACATCCAATACCACACTATATAAACTTTAGCTTCTTAACAAATTTTGCAGAGGGCACTTGTACCCCAACACTAGCTCTGCGGTTCTGTAATTAATTAACTGAAGAGAAACAATTTTAATAAATTCTTTACAAATGCTGAGCTATACCACAGAATTAATGAAAATTTGATAATAAAGATGAATTAAACTGAATTGGCAATAATGCATCACACTATGATTTTAATTAAATCTCTTTTTTCGAATAAACTAACCTAATAAATTTTTCTGTTGAAAAGAAGAAATCGAATTTCATGAAGTAGTACGAACGAAATGAACTCACCAACAAATTTATATTCCAATACTTGACAAAGATGTGTCAAAAATTATCTAACAACTTACTCTTCTTGATTGTATGATTGACTTTGCAAGTACAACACACACATCTCGATCACCTTTCTTTGCTGATTCTTTTATTTGCCTTTTAACCTGATGAAAACTTTCTCCAAAAGATATAATTAAGTTGAACAGAAAATAAAATATATGATACATCGTCCGAATGACAATATCTTACTTAACTAAGAAAAAAATTTTCGATATTCGATAGTTTCATAGCCAAAAAAATTGGTGGTATGAAAATTTCTATTAATATTTATGAAGTAACAAACTTTCATTTCTTCCCGTTCAATAGCATAGATCTGACGATCTAACTGCCGCAGTTCAGTGCGCATTTTCCGTTGTAATTCACGGACAGCTTCTTTAGTATCCACTTTTTTATCCTTTCCAAATAAACCCATCATCTTAAATCACAAGGCACAAAAATTAATTTTGCAAACATAGTTCAAATTCTCGCGACAGAAACGCAGTGACATAGATTGAACTTTTAGCCTTATATAAATCATATTTCATGTTGCGGATTCACCAATATCTCACTTGAAAAACTAAATAATTGGCAGAAAACATTTCTCTCCAATTATTTCAATTTCAGGATATTTGCTCTTAGATGTGCTCACAAATTTCACGCAGCCCCTATTAAATTTAGCTTCAAATAACTTCAAATGACTAGTCACTTTTCTTAGTTTTCTTGAAAAGTTGATTAATTTCCTTGGCACTCTTTTACAATCTAAATAAGACTTGGCATTTTTTCATTGATAAATATCATTTATACCGAGAATGTACAGAATAGTTATTGGGAAGAATGAGACATGAACTCTTTACTTCAAACCAGAAGAAAAGTAATCAGTGTAACTTTGACTACTCTTCCAAACATCATTTTTGTCACAAAATATGTAATGTTGCAAAAAAATGAGGGAGAAAAGTAGAGTACGAGCAAATTCTGCGCCTTAAAACCAAAAATTAAACGGAATTAAAACACTTTCATTGTTATCTTTTTTAAACTGTGAATGTGCTTAAACTCCTTTAATGATGTCAAAACGTGATTTCTGCGCCCTCAGTCCAATTTGGTAGAATATAGTGCCGAGAACGATAACAGTAATCAGAGATGAAGCCGAAATGATAGTAATGACAAGAAGTAGATGTTGTCTCATGTTTTCTCTGCCTTGCAATGTTGGATGAAGAGCTGATAAGTGATCGAAATGTTCTTCGTAGGTACTGCGATTCGATGGAGATGCTGCTTCTGATTCTGATTCATTCAGAATGTTCCGTATTAAACATGTTTTTTTGTTTGATTCTGTTCGTAAATACGGACATTCCTGTAAAATTACATATGACTTTTCCTTCAGATACTATCTTACATTACATAATTTCAGAGACTGTATTTATCTGCATATCATATTTCACTTCTTGAAATTACAATTTATTTCTCTTTATTAAACTAGAAATTACTGATGGTTTATATTATTGTAGTATTTCATAGATTAAGACTTTATAGCCAATTCGTTGTCCTCACATGTTATAACTTGGTATTGAACTTGTCTTGTGCTTTAACTTTTGAAATAATGCACTTACTAGTAATGGACAGTACATATAGTAATCACTAGTGGTTTCGTTTTCGTGGTCATCGCCAGTTATTAACCTATTCCACAACCATCTAGCAGCAAAAGCATGACCTCTTCTGGAAATTCATTGAAATAGTTAAAATTAAGTTAAAAAGTATGTGGATGACTGAAAATTTGTCCAAAATTCATTTAATTTTTTTGAATACTATGCTTATACCACTGTAGTGTTGTACTTTGTGCTAAATTATTATTTATCCATCTGTTACTTTCGCGCAGTAAAAATTTAAAAATTGTAAAATAAACTTATTGAGAAGCAGTTGGTCATATACAAATAAGCTTGTAGGACGAGCGCCAGTGAGGGACAGAAATGGCAGAACCACTACACCAAAATTTGAATTTCCTTCCTTGTTGAGCAGGTTGTGAAGATCGTTGAAAGTTGTATTCCAAGTATAGTAAAGCTTCTTGATGGCAACAAAAGAGTGCTGGCGAATGCACGCACAACGTTGTCTGACATGAATTTTTTTTTAGCAAAAATCTGTATATGTTAGAATAATGTACATTCTGATGTTTTACGTATTTTGAAGTGATGCTTCTAATTCCAAATACCTTAAAATATGGGTAACAAACTGTTCAATTGGTTGGAATAAAATGGGCCCTACAAGAACTACCAGTGTTCGTGGGCAGTTTCTCTGTATCTTTTCGAGTGCTTGAAGTAAGATATTGAAATCAGGCGATGAACAGTTTCTGCAAATCTGAAAAAAAATAATATTTAAGTCAGCTATCAAACTAAGTCACCAATCAATTTCTTTCCGTTATAAAGTGATAAATAAGCATTCACTAAAATGAACCTGATCGGTCCCCAGCGTTATAATAATCAGAATCCATTCTTTTTTCAGCCTTTCCCGACCATAATGATGATCAAGTCGACGGATCAACTCATTTGTCTAAATAAATCAACTCATTTGTTCAGTAGCAAATGAGTTAAAAGAAAAATTCTGTTAATAAGCCAATTTACGGACTACAAGGCTTGAAAAATCCAACACTGTAAGTAGTTTCAGAAAAAAGTTAAAACTGAATATTGATGTATGGAAAAAAAACTTGTTCCAGCAAGTCGTCTACTCCTGCATCACTTCTTGCACAATTCATTTGGGAATCTGGTAATTTTACTGAAGTACCTATACCATGAGATTGACCCTTCAGTTCACTGTTAAATTCTTTCAAAATATCTGCAATAGTTTGTCTAAAATGCAAAAAATATCTAAAATTCAATTTAAAAATACACAGTTTACCACTATGTAGCAAGAAGGAGTGAAAATCGAATAATTTCATACACATTTTTGACCATACTATGTACGCATCTTGAACATTTGTATTTGTTTATGCATTTAACTACGAAGCATTTGCCAAGAATACTTGGAATACTGATAATATAGTTCAAATCTGTATCTCCGCCGATGGGAAAAGCACCTCCACGCATTTCGATATCACTATTTCGCCACAATCTTTTACCTACCTATAATTCTGTAATTACAACTACGCAAAAGTATATTTAAAAAATCAAAAATTCCTCATATTATAATAAAAAAATGTTAATTTTGAGATTATTGCAGATAGAAACTGATTTTACTGAATGTTAAAATTTATAATTCAAGACAAGATGAAATAGATTCGAGTGTGTAATGTTTGAAAGAAGTAACTTCAAAAATAACTTCAATAATATCATACAGCAAGAGAGTCTCCCATAGCAGCAATGATGGAAATATCTTCCGGAGAAAGAGCAGCTAGAGAATCTCCAGTTCGTATGAATTTTTTTAACCGTGGACACGCAAATGTATCTTTGTTGACAAAAAATTGCGCCATTTTAGTAGTACTAACCTTTGTTACTGTATATTGGGACAAATGAAAACTGAAAGTTTTAGAACAACACTGAAAACTTTTGTAGTAATATAGAAATGCAGTAGATCGTAAAATGCATTAAATTACTGCGTAACTAAAGGAAAAAACAAAAGTGCTTCTTTTACCGCTCTGTACGTAAAACGTTAATGGTAAACTACTATGCAACTGATAAAAGTGAAACGCTATGATGAATGGAGCAGACTTTTTTTACATTAAAGCTCAATTAGCAGTATGATAAGAACACAGCGATTTTCAAATTTATAAGAATTACTCATTCTCAGCGAAAGAATTGACAGTAAGTTCGTTTTTACTTCCAAATACATCTCGTCTCAATAAACTTTTCTGAAATTCATAAGTTCATGTTTATGATTAAGATTTGTCGTAAAGAAAAGAATAATTAGTCATGCATCAATTTTGCATACATAAAGTCTAAAATAAGTTTAAATAAATGCAAGTATATAAATTTTAATAAATTTAGATCAATTCAAAATATTTGTGTTATATTCTACAAAAAAGGACAAATATTTTTTATTCTGTTATTTTAGTGTATTCTTGACTTGCTCTTTGCAATTTACAAATCATCTTTCTTAGTTTGATAAAAATTGCACTCAAAAAAAGACAAATTTAAACAACCT